CAGTTTATGTGATAGTAATATTCACATAGAAATATAGTGATATTTCTATGTACTGGTACCACGGCCACAGATAAACACAACTAAGCCTGCTCCTCACATGATCAATGAATTACAGTGTTGTGGTTCTACACTTACCAACAGCACACAAATGCATAACTCAGAGCCAGTTTTTTTTTTTTCGCAACCGAGTTGCTATAAAATGCTGCATTCACACAGCATTTAATAGTCCTCATGCTTGAGAAGATGCGAAGAGTAATTTGCGATGTGCTTGAAACAGGAAGCGGCACCCGCTCTGAAATTATTCTGGTGAATAGAGGGTATTACGACAATAAACATCACTCTGGAAAATTGCACTCGCCGATTTTATTACAATGCATTAGCAGCCGTGCAAAACCAAATGCTTTCATATGTCGTTACAGGCATACGTAAAAACAGTTACTTTCGCGTAACATGACCGGACAAACCACACTTTAAGAACGTGCATGACGTACGCGCACATAGAAACATGACGTGGCTAGCAGACGATGCAAGGAGCAATCCACACTTCATTTCGGCCAGTTACCACCAGGCGGCAACTCTGCTCGATCTCACGGCCAATACGGATTCACAAGATGCCTATTCGTGGTTCTACAGGACCTGTGGCCAATGTGATTCATTGCCTGCAACAAAGCCCATTACGGCTTCTCCACTTTCACATATTCGCTAGCGGGACGGTTTGCCCGCCATGTTCAGGGTGGAGTTGGGCATAGTAACGACTCGGAGCAGAAAGCGCAGTTGCGATGTGCATGGCCGTGGTGCCCGATGTTTCAAAGTACGACATGCTCGATCGTGATTACAAAGAACTGTCCCGCGGTGGTCTTCCTCGCAAGGTCCAAAGCACTGATAAGCAGAACTTTCCCTCCAACGAGTTAACACCATGACAATCGGTCTGAGACGCGGTCATAATCTGAAGCTTGAACTTCTGCTTGCAGCTGCCTTAATAACCCGTGAACACAGAGCGAGTGCGGCAATGTCACTAAGTAGTGTGATTTTAGATAGCGGCAACCTCATGACGCACAAGAAGCAAACGACGCTATCTCGGAGGCATAACGGGAATGAACATCGGACTAGCGAGGCATACTGGAGAAACAGCGCAGAAGCAGCCAATCAGAGGCCTCAAAATGAATTTCAAACATCTGCTTTTTGAACACAGACGTTCTCTACGGAATACTTTTATGGCGAGCCTAAAATGGTGGTGAGCAGTAGTGCTGCCGCGAAGTTATAAATTAAAAAAAAAAAAATGCCGTTTTTTTGTGTGTGTAGTTTACACATGTTTTTCACCACATCGGTAGACACAAAAAACTTTTGGAATCGGATAGAAAAAGGGGCTACAGATACTGAAGATGCGATTTCCAAAAAATCAATTTTTTTATGCCTCATTGAGAATGAATTCTTATTTGACTCGTGATTCTCTGCGGTTGTAACAGACCCATTCAGTGTTTCCACAAAAGTCTGTCAAAACAGTACTTGAATTTCACATACTCCTTATAAAAGAGACCAAAATCCTCTTTACTACAGAGGTCTGTTGTAATGAAGTTATACTGTATTAGTAATAATATTATTTTAAAAAACACTCAATATTGAGAGAGCAGCTTCTTAATGATGTGTAATCACACCGTGTGATGTCGTGGGAAGAAAGCCATCTGTGTAGTATTACTAGTGGCAGATCTACCATCTGCACGATGGTGCACGTAAACAATGATGAGTAAATTGTTTGCAGTGACCCTGACAGTGATTTTCGAGAGTGAGGCTGCAGGCGATTTAAAGAGACACTAAAGGCAACTACAGTCGACTCCCGGTAATTCGAAGTCGCTTAATTGGAAGTTTCGGTTAATTAGAAATGAGCAAGTGGTCCCATCAGTTTTGCATGCAATCGTATAGAAAAAAATGCTCGATGATTCGAAGTTAAAAACTCATAATATTGGGTAATTAGAAGTTTTTTCAATCGACAGTCTCGTCGCGACCGTAATTTTACAGTAAAATGGGGAACTTTTCATATGCCAAAACATCTGCCGGGCCGCGCTGGTGTCTTCGCCATCACTACTGTCCGCAGCGCCACAGATATTCAAGCGGCAATCTTTTTAACGCAGGCGAATCGAATCGGCGGCATCGACTGACTCTTTAGTTGACTTTTGTCGAGACTCGAGTGCGTCACCGCGTCACCCGCGCGCTGGGTTGATTCCACACGTGTTTCCGCGCTTCTGATTTTGAGTGTTGTGGTGGTGACGTACGTTTGATAATGGCAACTCGTGGCCCTTACTGAACGCTAGACCTAGCGTCGAAAGTCGAAGTCTTGAAGGAAGTTGACCAGGGAGGCACCGCCAAACAAGACATTGCAAGAAAGTATGGCATTAAGCCTAACACGCTGTCGACTTTCATAAAGAATAAGCGCTCAATATTGGATGCGTTTGAAAGTGAAAAATTCAAGACATCGCGGAAGCGGATGCGCACCGGCGCCTACCCCGAGTTGGAGGAAGCACTGCTGATTTGGATCAGAGAGGCACGAAACAACAAACTTCCTCTCAGTGGTGAAGTCGTCACGGCAAAAGCGTCATCGCTTGCTGAAATGTTGGGCATCAACGACTTCGCTGCTTCGGATGGGTGGCTTACGCGTTTCAAACATCGCCACGACTTGATTTTTAAAAGCGTGTGTCAGTCGATGAGGAAACGTGCCTGACATGGAAAGCGGGCAAGCTTCGCGAGTGATCGGGAAGGCTGCTTGTGATCGGGAAGGCTGCCAAGCCTAGGTGCTTTAAAGACGTTAAGACGCTTCCTGTGGATTATGCCTCGAACAGAAAGGCGTGGATGACATCCGATATATTTAAGGACTGGATCACCAAACTCGACCGCAAGTTCGCGCAATCGAGCCGTAAGGTGTTGTTCCTTGTGGACCGATGTAGTGCCCACATGAACGTACCTGCCTTGAGTGCCATCCGTCTTGTGTACCTGTTTGCAAACACGACGTCCGTGTTGCAGCCCATGGACCGGGGCATAATAAAAAATGTGAAGGTATTGTATAGGCAGCATCTCGTCGAGCGCATGCTTTTGTGCATGGACAACTCGTCGCAATACGAGGCGAGTTTGCTTAGTGCCATCAACATGCTAGCGCGAGCTTGGACCCGCGTGAAAGAAGAAACCATCGCCAATTGTTTCCGGGCCTGTGGTTTCATGGAAAACTCGGGGGATGCTTCTCCTCGTGCGCCAGTGGAAGTGCAAACAAATGAGCTCGAAGACGGTAGCTTTCGCGCCGCTCTCGGTGACGTCCGTTTTAACGAGTATGTCGCTGTGGACAGCAACGTCGAAACATGCGGTCCACTAACGGACAGCGAAATCGTGCAGATGGTTCGGCCCCATGACTGCATTCCTGAAAATGACGATGATGACGACGAAATCGGAAATGAGCCACCACCGAGGGCTGCCGATGTAGCTGCGGGTCTTGCTTTTGCGCAGCGGTTTTTTGTTGGAGAACACAACGCCGAAGAAGCACTTCGACACGTGTATTCCTTACAAAACTTGCTAGCCGCAGCCAGATTCGGCAAGCAGAAGAAGATGACAGACTATTTTTCCTCAAAACTGTCGCGCTTTTAAACTAATGAAAGTGCAGTTTTTAGTGCTTTTTGCTTATTTCGAAGTTCGTTTAATTTGAAGTTTTTTGCGGTTCCCGTGAACTTCGTATTAACGGGAGTCGACTGTATTAAGTATATGTTGATTGTTAAAATAGTGGTCAGAAACCTCGTAGTGTTGCTTTTGTGCAAAGGAAGGGCTTATTTTGAAATAAAATCGCGTTTTAGTGGTCCGTGCATCGAGTTAGCGCAATTCAAATTACCCACCTCAATGAAACACAACGTTGTCCGGCTTTAATGCATGGCCGTCACTGTAGTAGCAGCAGAGGAAAAGTGCGGGGAGCCACAACAGAAAAAATGGCCATTGAAATATTTTTAGCCATGGCCTTCAAAATTGCAGGTGTGCTTGGTTCAACTGGGCCACACTAGGTGGCACGACCTGCCCAGTTTAACAAGGTGAAAACTGAATTTTTTAACCACTCGCGCCATTCTTTATAGCAACGTCCGGCGGTTCTTTTTTCCATGAATCAAATAGATACTAACGCGCAGCATTTTATTACTTCTCTTGATGCACAGAAGGTTCTTTATTTAGTGCAGCTAAATCGATTACTAGTGATTAATTGTAGGCATTTTTCTGACGTCATGGAGATCCTTTTGAGAATGTCCTACTGTGGTGCATGTATTCTTGTGCATTTACTTTAATTTCTCGGTTAGTAGGGCACTGCTGTTGATAATATTGTCATTTTAGACGTCATTTATTGAGCTTTCACTCTTACGTAAACTGTTATTTCACTTCAGTGTCCCTTTCAGTCCACTGAGTTTGCACAGTCTGCAAGCTCGATGTACCTGTGTTCACTTGACGAGACAATGTCCATTGCAGTATGGCTTGCTTGCAGATGATTAGTGAGGAAAACTTTAAAACCATAGTAAAATATTTTATACATATCTGACTTCGGTGTGTGGAGGCTGTTAACACTACATACCAAGAAAACGAAGAAGACTCGCAGCATATGAATGGAGTGAATGATGATGAATGGGGCAAAGCATTTGTTTGTCCGTCCGCTGCTATCACACTGGAGCAAGCATAGAACGGACGGATGCTTCGCCCCTTTCATCATCATTCAGTTCATAGATATGCTGTGAATTTCTTACTATAACAGTGCTATCTATCCTCTTTACTTGTCAACTATGTGAAAACCACTTATGCAATAGTGATATTATTTTCAAGGACATATACACACAACGTCGTCTAGTAAGCAATTTATAAACTAGACACACATGCTACATACAAACGGAGGAGGGAACGACCCACACTCTAAAGAGCTTGGCCCCTAAAGTGCCCCTTTTGCCACGTCTCAAAACCGTGTGAGCACTCTTTCAACACTGTCAAGCACCCACCTTTTCCTTGGTGGCTTCCCAGTCCTCTTTGCGGTTCTCCTTGTCGCTGCCACTTGTGCGGCTGCCTACACTGTCCAAAGTTGAAACACTTTCTGTGTCTGATACCTCTTTTCGGCGGCGCTCGACTGGTGCATCCGTTGCCGAGGCAGGGGGCCTCCGAGGTGCTTTTTCCACACGAGGTGGTGATGCTGAGCCCTGTTGCAGCTTGACGTTCACTCGAACCTTGGGCCGCTCGGGTGACAATGCTTCGTGCGAGCCTCCATTCACAAGTGGTGGCCGTTGCTGCGCACCTTCATGCATACGTGGGAACGAGTTTCGCTTCTCAGGAGAGCCCTCGCGAGGCCCTGCTGTTGACTGCCGCAGCACCAGACGAGGCGATGCTGGGCCTTCATGGGGGCTCACGACCAGTGATGAGTCCTTCACCACCTCGTGGTCACCCACGCTGATCACCGACACATGGCTACGGTCCACTTCGACAGCCTGCTGCTCCCAGCGCCCTGCCTCGCCAACCTCCAATATGGTGTGCTTTGAAGAGAAAGTCACTTCGTGCTCCACTGGGACTTTTGGGGACCTAAAAAAAAAGCAGGTCACATTATCTGTGGCAGCAAAGTAATAGTAATAAAGTAGAAAACAAAACTGTAAGCCTTCATAAGCTTCCTACTTAAATGGACACTAATGAAAAATACTAAACTTGCTTAGAATAACTGTACTTTTTTTTTGTTCGGTGATCATAACCTTTTTAGAAAAGTGGAAAGTATTGCAAGTTTCACGTTAAGAATGAACAATTCAGCATCAAAACAATGCCAGCACATCAGTGTGACAAAAACTGAAGCAAAAGCAGGCCTACTGATGAGCATCAGAGGTTCACAAACATTGTGAATTTTGCAAGACCTACCTTTACTTTAAATTTTTTCTCTTCTTTTTTGTTTGCCTATGCAACCATTGTACGTGAGTTGGGGAGAACTCTGATTTTTCCAAAGCATACTAAGATGATAGTGGTCAGCAGAAGGTAAGAAGGCAATTTAGAAATGCTGTGGTTTGATTTTTAAAGAATGACACTATTACACAGTGCAGACCACTTATAACGCAACTGCTCATAGTGCAGAACCAGTTACAATGCGACCTTTTTTTTTACCCCTGTTTACCCTCTAAAGAACACCATGTATACGCATACCGCTTGTTGTGTAGTCCCCCCCCCCCCCCCCCCCCCCAGATAAAAAATTAGTTAAATGCGGTTGCCGAAAATGCGGTAGCGAATGCGCCTCTGAAACAAATGCGGTAGTGAATGCGCAAGGGAGGCACGCGCTGGGGTCTGGAGGGTGAGCGACAAGGTCGTTACGGAAGAGGAGGGAACCTGGAGTGAACGAACGAAGGGCGGAAAGGAAGAAAAAGAAAAGAAAAAAGACTGTGGCAATCTGCACGAGCTTGCCAAGTAAGAAAGGACAGTGGTTGCCTAGGCAATGGATAAGCCTTGCACCGGCTCTGACGCGGCTACAATACACTAGCGTCGCTAGCGTAGCTCCTGCCGCTTGCTTGCTCACAACCATGCATGGCTCGACATGGCACGTGCAATTCCATCCTCATGAACTGCACTTGGAGTTTCCTGCCTGAAAAAGCGTCTTCATTATCGAACTTGCTACAGGAATCGTGTTTTCTACCTTGTCCATATTTAAGGCTTGATGACACGAGCTTTCCCCTTTGCTGCCAGGGCAGGCTTACCGGGTTTTCGTCGTTGATCTTCCAGCCGTGAACGCTAACTTCGTATCACGCATGCTGTTCTTGGTTCAGAGCGTGAGTGCAATCTTTTCGATGCCCAATCTTCAGGTCTTGCAAAAACTTCCAGCGACAACATACCGAACGCTAGGCTAGGCCTAATCAGCATTTGTTGCATTTCGGTAGCGGTCACGTGCCAAGTTGCAGTTTGGTACCAAATCAACGAAACTCTTTGAGGTGGCTATCGTTATTGAAAGCGAGGGTGGCCCGTGCACCACTCGAATAATGGCTCACAATTCGACTATGGGTGCGCGCTCGTGAAATTTAACAATGATGTCATTCAGTGCGTGAAATTGGGACGTCATTCAACAAGTTTCTGAGCAATGCGCATCATTGAGGTGGCCTAAGTAGTAGTCGGCGAATTTCCGCGACGGTGCTTTAGTTTGTTAGATCCCTCCTTCCCCCATTTCGTGCTCATTTTGTTGACAAAGCAGGTCTTCGGATGTTAAATTTTTTATAACATTCAAAAATTTAGATGGTTGTAAGCACCATGCATCGCATGCTTCGATTCTCAATCATGCCAGGCTGCATGCTTAACACTATTTCTGCAACTGCGGCCCTTGAGAAAAAGATTGTTTTGGTTATAGTGCGGTACCGTTTATACTGCAGATATTCGTGATTCCCACAACTTATGTTATAAGCTATCTATACTGTAGATGAAAATGAGAGTTAAGCACTCATGTGCTAAGAGCATGCTTTTCATGTGTGAGTAAATTGTGGCAATCATGCTAAAAGGTGGGTGCCACTAAGAAAAAGGCTTTCTTTGTCCATACAGCAGCCTATGAATGGCATTCAACCACCACCGCCCCTTTCCATTTTTGTGACTGCAAGTAGAACATGCAGTAATTTAAGTAATGAATCTCAAAAGAAAGAAGTACCACAATACTTACAGCTCTCCTTTGTCAACTTCAGAAGTTCCAATTTCACAAGTGTCCTTTACGTGGGAGCTGGAATCATCTATCATTGATAAGCCTGTGTAAAGTGAATAAATGAATGAATCAAGGGACACAAGAGCAATGTTAAGAGAAAACACTAAAAGCAATAGTGGTCCAAACCGTTTAAGATATGGAGCAATATTGAAGCAAGACCTGCGCAGGAAAACTTCTTAATTGCACGAAGCAGTACAGCAAAACAGAAGTGGTAGAGGTTTGGCACAGCTACTCATTACATATGACAAGCAAAGCCAGAGCACAGCGAGCAATATACCACAGCAGCTCTTTTTCCTATCTAATATTGGCACAGTTGCATGCTGAAAACCTTTATTTGAATGGGTAAGCTTTTATGCACCAGTGCAAAAGCTTTTCCATTCTATCAAGATCAAAGCTAAGAAGTCAAGCAAAAGACGGATAATCAAAGAAACAAAACAAGAACCCAATCTCCAGCTTTTTTTTTTTTAGCGGTTGCATCAATAAGCTCAGTTGCTTAAATTAAACCACATGCTTTAGAATATTGCCTTCAAAATATTTCCTGCACGGCTAGCCACGAGATAAAAAGAACAAGGATGAAAAACTAATGGTTAGGGAAGTCAAATAAATGACAGGATAAGGCTCAAGAAAATTAGTGTAAACATGCAAAAGACACGATCATTAAGCACTGGTGCCACACTCCCTCTCAGGGGTTTTCCAGTTGTGCGGACAAAACTTGTAGAGTCGAAACCGGACAATAGTCAAACTCGGATGCATGAAACGCAGGAATATAAAATTACAGTCGAGCCCACGTATAACAACCTCAATTAAAAGGAACTTTCTCTTGAAACGAACAATATCCACGAGACCGCGAAAATATACATTGTTTCAATGACACAAAATCGCATTTGCAATGAACGTCTCCAAGCGCCGCCGATCAGTTACAGTGGACGGAGTAGATTTCCTGGGAAACCACTTTCTACCACCGATTAGCCATCGGTGAGGTGCCCATAGGTTCTCATTGTTAAATGCCGGCTCTGCCTCAACACCCTTCTACCCTCTAGTTGCTGCTCACCCAGACCATTTTTTGTTGCCCAACCCTCCGTCCTACGTCCATCGGCTACTCTGAGCACCCCGCATCGCCAGACAAGGCCCGTGTTTTCACACTGCCACCGATCGTTCGAAGACAGGTCGGTCAACTAGTCTCCCCTGAGCTTTTGATCACTGGTACTGTCGTTGACGTCCCCAACCTAGAGTGACCAGACCATTTGCTAACATCTTCGGCCACCGACTGTATGCGATCGTCTGCATATTGTCTTATTGCATCATTCTAAAGCACACGCGTACACTACCCCACAGACTCTCATGATTCACACTCCGTTTCGTGTTTAGGACCTTTTCTCACTCACTTTGCACTCGGCTCAGCATGCCCTGCGCACGGAGCAGAAGCTATCTGACCTGCTTTTTTCATGCGCTTTGGTTTTCAAGGTCACCATCCCGCCGTATCCCCCCCTCTCTTCTCTTTATTGCAACTTCTTGCCCTTCTCTTGCAAATCTGCTCTCCTCTCTTCATTACAACTCCTTCGCCCGTCTCCACTGCTCTGCGACACCATCCACGCTGGCTCGAATTCAGAAGTTTCATTTTTTTGACTAGAAATGGGCCCAGAAGAGCTGTTCCACGCGTTCTGCAATGTGTGCTACCTGTGTGCATTTTGCCTGCTGTTGGTGTGCATGAGCAGTCAGGATGATGGCACACAAGAGGCTTCCACACTTTTTCTTACCGCTCAACAAAACGTCGAAAGTGTGACTGCTTTGCTTGGGTGTAATCCGTGCGTTAGGTGCCGTGTTGCGGAGCGCTTGCTCATAGCTGTTGACCACCTGGCAGCCAACCTGCCGCTTAAGACGTTCCGGTATTCAGCTGTGGAGATGGCAAAAACTTCGTGGGCAGCGGTGATGGCTACATGCATGCAAAACTGTTTTTGCATGGACGACTTCGTCGACGTCGGGCCCAATGCCGAGCCTGAAGCTTCCGAACAGGACCACTCCGGCGGCGATATGAGGCAACGCGTCGTCGACTCCGACATGGAAGAGGAGGTGGGATAGTTGTTGCGATGGTTTCATTACGGCGAGAGACGCCGTAGTGGAGGACACCGGGAATTTCGACCACCTCAGGTTCTTTAACGTGCACCCAATCTGAGCACACGGGCCTACAACATTTCCGCCTTCATCGGAAATGCAGCCGCAGCAGCCGGGATTCGAACCCGTGACCTGCGGGTCAGCAGCCGAGTACCTTAACCACTAGACCACCGCGGCGGGGCGATGATGATGTCGACACTGCGGAACCGTGCACAGATTTGAGCATTGTGAATGAAGTACGCGGCAAGAGCGATTTGGAGGAATTGAATTGCAAGGACGACGAAACTTAGGAGACAGTGCCTCATGCAGACAGTGTCTCTACGTGCAGGGATGGAAAAGGGAGAAGCGTAGCACAGGTGCATCGGAGATTGGCATTTGAGAGAGAGCAAACAATCCGCCACAGTCTTTCCTTTCCTTCTTCGCGCGCAGCGTTGAGAGGTGCCGCTACGGGATTGGCCATGGTGCTGAGAGCATTTTCAGAGCGCGGTATATTTGAATTAACCATCGCAAGTGCTTGCGCGTTCGAATTACAGGGCTTTTTTGCTCATTGAAATAGACATAGCTTTGATGGGGCCTCAGCGTTGGTTCGAAATACCCGAAAGGTCGAAGTAATGAGATTTGACAGAGTTTATTTTCCGTGGCACGCGTGGTCACGTCTCAGTACATCGGGCCGCGAAGCGGTTTACTTCTTTGCATGCTTATAGGTGTGCGCCCATCTCCGCAAACTGTTATAATCAATATAACGAAATAATTGTCGCTCCCTTTCAACTTCGTTATAACGAGGTTTGAGTGTAGAAACATTTGTGCTGACAAAAACATCAGTTTTATTTTTTATTTTTTGCAACAAGATAATAGCCCTGTCGCACGACACATGTAATGCCAATATCATTGCATTATTACATTCCGGGTCAACACGGCTATATGCAATGACATTCCCTATTGATGTCAATGTTTATTGACGTGATGCTACGATACAGAAAGTTACAAATTGTACATTTAATTTACATATTTTCTCTTCATTGTTAGTAATGCAGTGGTAAACATTGTAAACATGCAACGGTTAACATGGTTCAAAATATATACTGCAACGCGATAAAACAACATCAGTACAAAAAAAAACATTACATACATATTCAAAGTAAGACTAACTTAAAACCACTCACAACTTGCCATTGGCAATATTTGCCATGACGGCATTCATGAATTTGTGACCACGATGAATTATGATCAGTGCGAATGAGTAAATTGCTCTCCAACTGCTGCGAATGAAGCATTGAAACTGACAGAAGCTGCTCAAGCTTGCTATTGAAAAAAAAATGTCACAGATAACAAAAGATTTGGAGCTGCACTTAAGCACAAATACATTTATGTTGGCTGCTTTTTGGGCTTCGACTTCGCTGGCGATTAAAAGAGAACTGTGATGCTTCCCAAGAAAAAGATTTATTTTTAGACACTCTTTCTAACCTAGTGTCCAACATGTGTGTGTGTATACGGCTACTAACGAGTGAAACCATGGCAGCGCTTAACGAAAACAGCGAGCGTTTGCAAATATAGGTGACAGGATGTGCTAGTGTCAAGTTGGAGTCTGTGACAGAGAATATAGCTGCACATATTGCTATTGCGTTGTACGTTAGAGGGACCGACAACTGCCTAGAACATGATTGAGATGACTGCACTAATGGAAAGATTTTCCAACGCATTGCCTCAAACCAACCCTATTTTTTTAGTGAGAGGTGGATTTATATTTTTATTTCTTCATTGAAAGTCACGAAAAATGACCTGTGGCACATGCCTTTCGTGGCAAAAACAAAAATGATTTCATGTACCTGGCCATGTGACCATTGCTGTACGTAATCGACAATATTTTTGTTAGTATTATGATGTGGGTTTTTTCATATTAAAAGATATTACTTCATATACTTCATAAAAATGTCCATATAGGCCTGCATAAGTTGTGTGCATTAAAGAGGCGCTACCTTCGCATGACGTAATGATCCCATGCTCGTCAGCGCGTCTCGAGTAACTTTTCACTGTCCCATTAAAATTGTGCACGCAGTTTGCAGGTCGCTCAGATTTTTGAGGAACATAGCTTCACTACCTACACTTTGCCTCAGAAATGACGTGCACAGCTACTCGGCACAACCTTGCATATGCGTAGTGACATTTTCGGTTACTTGGCTTGGCTCGTGTATCGAGAGCGTAATGATGTCGGGACAAGCCACCCATGACACAGGCATAGGAAACATTGGGCGCAGAGCACATCAACGTGGGACTTATAGAGGAAAGGGGTGTAATGCCACATCATCTTATTGTAACAGCTTATTATTTTCAAGAATAGTTGAAAAGGTCTAAATAAAGGTGGTTAGCATAGTTACAAAAACTTCATAAAAAAAAAGACAGCTTTCACAAATCGCCAGAGGTGCTGGCGGCATTACTATCAATTCTCAGCTTTGCTGGAGGAAAGGTGTGTCTGCATTTAGAGCTTTTCAGATCAGTAAATACTGTTTGTAGAATAACTTCGTGCTTTTAGCATTAACTACTGCAGCTACAAACACTACAAAGGGTGAGCTTTCTGTTGTGCCATAAAAAAATAGGGGAGAGTAAAATCAGTTGTCGGTCCTTTTGAAAAGTTACCCAAAAGGTAACACCCTTTACTAAACATCAGAACATCCTTTACACTTACTTTAAAATATCGATTTTGTGATCTCTTGTTAGGTGCCTGTTGAAGAGATTATACAGTTAAAAATGCTTATAACAAACCTCCATATAAAAAATTCCTCAATATAACAAAGTTTTTCTATTCCCCACCATTGCTCCATAAAGGCAGATATATTTGCTACCTCTATGTAACAAAGTAACAGTGGGAGACAACCTTCATATAATGAATGTTCCCCATGGACAATCTAGAAATTTTGGACTGGATTTTGTCAT